TTTTAATTTTTTTATTTAAAATTAATATTTTTATTTTCAGATAGTGCATGCAGCTTTATACTCATCCGAAGCTCTTCATTCTTCATCATTCGTGCCTTGAAAATTGGAGTTTCTTCGTCACGGCATAAGGTTTTTGAAGCCTGGGGCCTCTGGTGGCATTCTAGAAATGTGATTACAAGAATGCACAGACCACTAGGGCATTGTATGGAAACACTTGGCTAAGCATGTATCTTATTTTATGATATATATTTGGGTATTGATTATGGATGGAAATTACTTGATTATTCTATTCACATGGCATCAACACATTAGAGAATCCAATCAACCAAACAAGAGAATAATTGCTGCGAGGTAGTAATCATGGAGAATAAAGAAGAAGTTCAAATTTTATTTATTCCTTGTGGGAAGACATGCTTTGGTTGTCGAATAATCGATTCAAACCAAGAGTGGAAAAAAGCAGAACGAAGATCAGATTCTTTGTTGTGGCAGAAAACAAAAGGAAAGTAAAGGAACCTTTTTCGTGTCCTTCTATTCCTTTCAAATTATGACGGTCCACAAGTTTTTCTAGCTTATGGTCGTATAAATATTGTTATTAAACTTTGAATAGGAATCAACTTGTTGCTTCGATGCTTTACTATATTTGAGTTTCATTTTACATTATTTAATATTGACTCAGTTAAATATAATTAATTTTAATTAACATGATCACTGAATAATTTCAAACTCTAAACTAAACCAGACCTCAAATAAAATCTAAAAATTATAATTATATATTCCTACAACTGTTTGACTTAAATAGTACATACAAGGATCAATAATAATTGATAGAGAATTTGTTTTTCAAGGACCCCAAGATATTAGAATCCCTATTTGGATTGAATTAAAATTTGGAATTGAAACAAATATATTGACAATAAAGAAACAAAGAAAGGGTAAAAATGGTTAAGTTTAGAATGATCAGATTAAGATTTGTTTTCAAGGATATAATAAAATATTTTGCTATATTTATGTGTGTGTTGGATGTTAATTTCAAATTGGAAATCATCGAATATAAAGCCCTTTCACAAAAATTATATTTGCATTATTACTTAAACGAGTATTAGTGAGATTCGATTCAAGAGATTAATCAAAAGATCCACTTGAACACCTTAAAATTAGTGATGATAAAAAAAATAGTTTATTTATAATATTTATATTATTTGACCTACTTAACCAGATAAAGCTAGCATGGTGTTTTCGGACATGGATATAAAGAAATTATAAAATATTTTTCAGGTAAGTGAAAGAGGCTAACTGCCGTTACACTCATTTCCAAAAAAATTTTATGGTTGTTAACTGTATTTGTCTGTATTATTTTATAAATATTTTTATTAATCCTTTTAAATTTTAAAATTAATAATTATATAAAATTTTATTTTTTAAAAAATTTATGAAATTTGAATTAATAATCTTCAACTAATAAACTCAGAGTTTAACTAATTAAGCTACTCCTATTAAAGCTATTACACCCTTGATTAATAAATAAAAAGTGAATTAAACTTGAATATTGCATATAAACAAAGGGGATATAACGAGAGTGAAGAGACAGGAGAACTCATACCCACCTCTACTGAGGAGTACAAGAGAGACAAAGGTCGAGGGTGAATTAGTATAGCATTCAGGAAATCAAGAGCCTCCGCTTTTCAGACCAAGGTACTAAGGTTCTTTTCATTTATGATTAAATAAGTTGCCATGAGATTTTTTTAAATCGAACCCCAAGTACGGCAATACTGATTATTAACATTGCTTGTAATTTATTTGAGTACCTTTTCCTTCAGATGCTAAATTTGAAGTTAATTTCATTACTAGTTAATTACAGTTATTTATTTGTCAAATGATCAGAAAACTTCAACAAATGGGAGAAAACGATCGATTAAAAAGCCCTTCAATTCCAATTGAAAAGCTGCGCCAAGATATTTTAATTATTATTCGAGATGACTTGGAGACTAGCTTTCGGTCTGAGCAGTGTATCTATGAAGTTCCTTCAGCACTTCGTGATCGAAAGGAAGATGCCTACACTCCTCGAGTAATCTCTATAGGCCCTATTCATCATTATAGCGAAAAATTGGTGGCTATGGAAATTCAGAAACGGAGATATCTGAAAGAATTTTGTAGACTGAGGGTGCAAAGGGAGCAAGAAGAACGTTTGGAAATGTTGGGTATGCGACCAAAGTCCCACATTGGTTAAAAATGAGGAGGATCAAGGGTATATAAAGATGAACAAATATCTTTATATGATATTGTCCACTTTAGGCCTAAGCCCTTATCATTTATCCATCCACTTTTGAGAACCATTTCAGGTCAAGAAGATCACATACGCCGTTGCTATGCAGCTGATTCCTCGAAGCTTAGCGGCGATCAGTTTGTGATGATGGTTCTGTTAGATGCTGTATTCATCTTCGAGCTCTTCTTGAGGAATGAAGAATACCTGGGTGATAGCAGCAAATATCAAGACGATTTTATAATAGGCCAACCCTGGTTGAGAGCTGCGATTCGAAGAGACTTGATATTGCTTGAAAATCAGCTGCCATTCTCTACTCTCAATGAATTATATGATTGTGCGATGAGCACGACCGATTGCAAACCTTTCATGTACCTTTCCTTCCGGTACTTTGATAAGTACAGAAAGACATCCGAGCCCAGCCAAAAAATACTACATTTCACAGATTTGGTGAGATGTTTTCTATCATTCAAGCACCCGGATTTAAAAATTGACAAGGCAGAACCGATAAAAACTCTTTACAGCGCAACAATGCTGCATCAGGCAGGAATTAAGTTCAAGCCATTGCCGAATGTATCCCTGCTTGACATTAGAGCCTGGAAACCTCTCTCGAAAGTTCAGACACCGCTTTCAGATAAGAAAGGTAAGTTACTTATGCCTTCCCTTGAAATCGACAACAATACCGAATGTCTCCTCCGAAACCTCATTGCGTTGGAGCAGTTACATTATCCAGGAGAAGAGTACATTTGCCGTTATGTTAAGCTACTAGATTTTCTGGTGGATCTTGAAAACGATGTGGATTTGCTCATTGAAAATAAAGTTATTGTTAGCAAGCTAGGTGACAGTAAAGCGGTGGCGGAGCTTATTAACGGACTTTGTCGGGAAATGGTAGAAGTTTCTTCCACTTTTGACCCTCTGTCCAAACTGCTGAATGATTACTATGAGAGCTCCTGGAATAAAAACAAGGCGTACTTGGTAAGTGTGTACTTCAAAAATATTTGGACAGGAACTGGAACTGTTGTTGGATCTCTCTTCCCGCTCGTCACCTTGACACGGTTTATCCTATACCTTCTACGTTATTAGGTCACTACGTTTTCTGGGAAAAGAGTGGTTTGAAGCTTCTAACATATATAGTTTATCACTGCTGTTAATCGTAACGTGTGTTGCTCCAGTGCTTGTAGATTTTGTTTTTCGTTTGATGTTATGAAGTTTCGTCATTCGTGCTGTAATTCTTGTACTTCATGGTTAATCAATTATGGTTTGCACCAAATGTCTACAGCTTGACTTATTAAGAATTTTACCCTCAGTTTTTTGCTCTCTGTGTTGTCAACGGCGCAGAAAACAAATGGTGAGCGGCCCATGAAAACGAGCAAAACCAAGAAGGAGCTCAAGTTGCACAGTTGGACAGCTTCTCTTTAATTTTAATAGAGGTTCTAATTTAGTTGATCAATCAATGGCATTGGTTAATTTAAGAAAAAATACAAATCTTATATTTATTTAATTATATCAATTATACAATCCATCATATATATATATATATATATATATATATATATATATATTAATACATGCTCTGCATAAGATTAATATTAATTTTTAAAAAAATATAAAATAATTATTAAAAATATAGAAAATATTTTAGTTTATTGAGTCTGTGATCATGCAATATCCAAGAGTTTTGAATTTGGTGACATATCAAGTCAAGCGACTTAGAACTAGAAGCATGTTTATGAAGTTTTTATGTGTGTTAACTAGTAGAGGAAGGGAAGTATTTATTTAAGTGTATCACAAATACATATTTGTTGGTATTTTAAAAATGCTTTAAAATTTAAAAAAAATGGTAATTTAATTGTTAAAATTAAAAAAATTATTTCAATATATTTTAAAATAAAAAATAATTTTTAAAAAATACTTCAAAGCTCCAAAATAATTCCTAATTTCCATTATATATATATATATATATTTAAAAAAAGACAAGCTGGACTTACAAGCCCATTATAGTTGGGCTGGGCTTGGTGTGGTGGTTTAGTCAGTCCCCCACATTTTTTTGCATTTAATTTTTTTTTTTTTGCGATTCATTGATTTTTTTTCTTTTTTATTGGGAAAAAATTAGGTGACAGATAGATGATGTGGAATGTGACCAGGCAGGCAGGAAGAGAATTTTTCTGGAGGATTAAGAAATCACAGTTCGAATTTGAATAGTATTGCTGTGGTTAGAAGTGATCCAGGTGATGAATCTTTGCCTAGTCAAGCAGGTTATTGTCAACCTGCAGATTGAATTTGATGATGGGCCTTACATGTTCTGAACACCATTTGGGCTCTCGAGATATGGGCCGTTCAATTCAATCTGTGATAATGTTACATCTAGAAGAACAAGGGAAGGAAAGCTGCAGTGTGCGAGCCCAGCATGTTATGTTACTCGTAGGAAGAGAGCAGAAGGTTAAAGTCCTGGATAATCAAGGAGAAAGAGGAGTGACTGATGGGGAAATTAGTGAGGATTCTATGGACGGTGGTGCTATTGTGATGGCGAACAACAGAATTTCGTGGCTGTTTCTCTTTGCGAACTGATCTAAAAGCAAGGACAAGGTAGAAGCTGAGGCGCATAAAACTTTGGCTGTAGGAGTGGAAATCTGTGTTCATAACAGCGATGGAGATTCTTTGGTGGCTTGACATATTTGGTAAAAAGTAGCTAGAGAAGAAAGGGACTGGGACCGAACTCACTAGGTTCTTGATCGGTAAGGATTTCTAAGCCAAACGAACCTCCCGGTTGCCATCAAATCAAGATTTGTTTTCTGTTGCAGCTGATAGAATCAAGGTTTTTTCTCTTGTTTTTTCTTTACGAGGTATTCTGTGTGGATTAGTATCCTCAGGCATAACATAAGCTGTAGGTTTTCCAACCTTGTTGCTCTTTAATTCTTCCGGAAATGCTAACACTTTCTTCTTATAAATATGTGAAGAGCAACTGTTTCCTGATCATTTCAACTTGAAATCAATTGCTCCCAATGATTTTTTTTTCATTTAGTAACCTTTTTATTTTTATTTCTTTTAGTAAATCTTTTTGAGACAAGAGAACTAAGAAAAACCCAAGAACCCTTTTCCGTAGGATAAGAATCCATCGCGGTATGGTGCTCTCAAAGAAGCTTCAAATTAAATGGCCATTGCAATTTGTACAAGGGTGAAACAATTTGTACAAGGGTGAAAAGAACTGGCCTGGGAGGAATAGTGGATGCTCTTCAATAAAATACCACATAAAATTATATACAATCCTAGACCAAGTAAAGAGTAAAGACTAAAAAGTAGCCAATATCTTTTTAGCAATGCATAGATTAGACGAGGACCATTCTAACTTTAGTTCTTTGCTCCTCCATGCAGTGATGCGGATAAGGAATTCAAGAGGTGAATTCACAGAAAATACGAGCCTTTTCTAGTCAGAACAGGAAATGCTTTAGCAGCTGAAATGGGCCAAATTTATTAAAAGCCCTACTCCTTTTAGGCCAGGCAAACGTCTCTGATGGGAAAGAAGAAGGTACTGTCATTTCACTTCTACCTCGTAAGAGGTAAAAACTGATAAAGACAGCTTTCCACGTCCATGTTTTGGCCACAACCTCATAGTGACCTGAGATGAAATAAACTTCGTACCTAAACCATGTGTGAGACCTGCCTCGAACAACCTGAGAAGTGAGTGGTAGTTATCTACCACTGAATAGAATGTGTCTTCATAACTACCAAAACTTTCTGTCGAAGTAGACAAAGCTGTCATCAATAGTTGTACTAAAGACAAATGATCAATCCTTGTCTGCATTATGTATGGAAAATGCCAATACCTCTAGCGTGGCCAGCATGCAAATTGAAGTCAAGGGACATGATTGCTGATACAGTCTTGCAGATCCTGATTTTTTTAAAACTTGTGGTTCAAATTTCATCTTCTCATATACAGTTACTCGTCACGTGAATGTCAGTGCTACACTACTTTGTTTTGGAAGCAACTTCAAGACTCTCTGGGCTTAAAAATAATTGAATTTTCTTACCCCAAAGTTGGTTGATGCTCTTGATGATGTTGAATTGTCCTAGCGTTGGGCCATGAAACATTGAAAAGAGAAGCTAGCAGCCCCAACACTCATAAAGGACTTCACCTAGATGATGTGAAATGTTAGCATCATTCATTCTCATATACAGCCTCCTTGTGATAATTTATTCATTAAAGTGCACAAAATTCTCCATTTAGATCCTCTAGAATCTCTCTAAAATTGATTTCAACCAACTAATTATCATTAATCTTAAACTAATTGGAGCACGTTAGGTAAAAAAATCCTGCAATAGCCTGTACGAACCTAAAACTATAATTTGCAGGTTCACCAGCAACTAAAACTTATCAAATCTTTCATGCCAAATTCAATTATATTATAAAATTCACAACTCCATGTGAGATAAGTGCAATTTGATGCTAGGAAATACAGCTATAAACAGCACAATAATATAGTGCATGTATCGAGCCCAAAAAAAAAAAAAGCCTCCTTCAGCAAGAAAACCTTGCAGTGGAAACAAAATGAATTATGATTGATTATAAGGTTGGTTATGATCATATGCAATTATTCAAGGAAAAGATGATGCAGCCGTATAAAGTGAATCTTCGTGTTCATCGTTTACATTTGCAAGAGGAAAGTAAAGGGACATTGGAGTTGGTGGGAAATAGTTTACAGCATGATATTCAAATAGTTGTGATAATCTCTTACTAGTTTCGAACCCGTTGCCTTCAGTATTCCCAACCACCTCCTCCTAGGAGGTCCATGACCAGCCAATAACTTAGAAACCAACCTACCACCCATTCTATAAAACGCGTTGAATAAAATTATGCTTCTTTATAGATTCATTGTTGTAATTGGTACAAAATATATGGTATGTTATTATTTTTTATTAATCGGATATAATGTGTTTCTTTTTTGGGTTATAATGAGAATAATATTAATCATTCTTAATCTCTAATTAAATATCCTCTAGCCACTCCCTTCATGAATTGAACTTGGAGAGCTTATAAAAATATAAAATTAAAATTCTAATTTTAACTATGGATGTGTTCATTTAAACATAATAAATTGTTGGTGTAACACCTAGTTCAATTCTATTTCTTAATCAACTTTTGTCTTCCTATTTATAGATAAAAGGGAATAGTAGTCTCTAGTGCCAACCCATTAATTTTGAAGTACTTGTTTGGAATTATTTTTTTCTTGCTATGTTGCGTTTTAAATTAATTTCTAGTCTCATTTTTTTCATTACTAGGAGTCCTCCACCATTTTATCAGTATTTTTAGGCTATTTTTAATATTCATGTGACAAGGTATGAAGCGGTTTGTGTTTTATTCTCATTAAATATTTAAAAGTGTTTGATTAATGGGTTATACTAAAAACTTTTTAAAATAACATTGGTCAAGAAAAATCTATGATTTAAATTTTATTTTTTATATAGCAACCATAAAATACATCTATATACCAATCTCGCACTTGTAATCTTATACCGAGGCCAACCTTGACTTCTTGGCTCATACCAAAATATACAAACACATGCACTCAAAGGGCAGAGTACCTCTGTCAAGAAAATTATCATAGCTTTAAACAACAACTTCTGGCTGCTATACCTCACTGACGGGTCCATGCCCTACGCAAGACCCCCACATGTGCAATGCAATCCAACAACACGCCAAGCAGCAAATAAAATATACGTCATGGCTTGGCTCCTTTGCCTGTGCTTTGACCCCTGGAATCTGTGAAGGAGTACAAAACTGAGGACTTCTCACCAAATGAAACGGCCGGTCAATATGATTTTCTTTAAGATGAGCTTCATCAATGGCCTCCATGGGGCCATTTTCTTTTGCAATCGAAGGAATTTATATAACAAGATCAAGCCAAAAGGGTTCATGAATCAGGTCCGTTGACCATGCATGTTGTAAGATCTGAGCTTTCAATCTTGCCGACCCAGCTAATAGTTACAGGATCATGACCACTAACCTCATAACACGATCCATTTTCAGCTAATTATCGTGTCTCTTCCTTGCATGTATCTCCTTCTATCTATAAAATAATAGGAGAGTTGGCACTGATCTGCTCCGAGAAGCCGCGTTTGGTTAGTCTAATTATTGCTTTCAATAATCCTAATAGCAAAGATCATGGCTTGGTTATGTGGATATAATTAATTGGAGTCAATTGGTTGATTGAATTGCAAAATATTAGATATTATAAGAAATGGAATACGTGCAATGGAGGCGATCCTT